GAAGTCGTGCACTATAGAAGATCTCACAAAGAGGGTGCTGTGTCAACCAGGAAGCCATCTGGTGGATTCTTTCTGTTGATGGGACCTTTGGCTTTCCGGCTATTTTCATTCTCAGCAGAGTAGAAAGGGCTGGGTTGTTTGGTTGGTTTGTATTTGAGACAGGATCTCACAAGGTAGTTCTGGACGAGCCAGAACTCACCGAGATCTGCCTGCCTCTGCCTTCCCAGTGTTGGTTTCACGGGCGAGCATCACCAGGCCAGGTTGCAGAAAGGGTTACTGAGGGCAATTGCCGGCAACCATTGAATCAGGGTGGGTTTGCAACTGTGCACGTTCTCAGGCTAATCAAAAGTCATGTCCAAATGAGCAAGGTTATTGAAAAGGGTGACCTGAACTATTTTGTTTCCTACTTAAGTTCTGTTTTGAAGTGCTGGGCCTGGCACAGGCTAGGCAAGGGCCTTCTTGGTGAGCTACAGCCCCAGTCCAGAAGTTCTGACCAGGGTTTGTAGAAGCACTGTGGAGACCCCTCTACTGTAGAGATTTTCCTTTTATCCTTTTCGTTGCTTTCCTCTCCTTCATTTTCTATTTTCTTCTTCTTTTCTCTACTTCATTTTCTATTTTATTCTCCTCCTCCTCCTCCTCCTCCTCCTCCTCCTCCTCCTCCTCCTTCTCTCTCTCTCTCTCTCTCTCTCTCTCTCTCCCCCTCTCTTGTACTTCCTTGATTCTTTTATACCCACTTGTATTATAACAAGAAGGTCCCAAGTCAGTGAGTAGGTTATTTTGAGGCTAAAGAAACCCTGGATTTGGGTGGCGTTAGTTGCTCCTGCCAGGGTTCCACCAGCTATCCCTCCCAGGCTATCCCTCCCAGCCCTTCAGGGCGCTGGGAATGGAATTTGAAACACGTGAGAATGCAAACTCCTGAGGTGCTGGTCTGACTAATTTAGCCACGTGGGCTGGCACAGTGCCAGTTAGGTCTGGAAAAAGTAGGCCAATATTAGTTACACAGCAAGTAAGTTTAGTCTTCTGGCGAGAGAGCCAAGGGGCCGTTGGAAAGCATGTGATAGAGAAGGAATCTAGAGGCCCGGCTCTCGGGTGTAATGGAAAAAATGTTTCTGCCCTCTAATTTTAAAAGACTCGAATGTTACCGCTTCCTTTCTGGGTCTCGCTGCCTCTTAAAGGGACCGACCATGGGCCAATGGCCCTCCCTCCCCGGCCCTCCTAGGGACTGCAATTTGTTTTGCAATGTCACAGCTATAGCTGTGGGCCTGTCTGTAGCAGATAACAACCTTTATTTATGAAATTGCAAATCTAGTGTCTACACAACATTGAATAAGGGCCGCAGAATGGTAAATAACAGCAGGAAAATTTAAGATCTTCTCTTCCTTCCCACGGTATAAAACCAGACCCTGCGCCTGGCATGGTGGCCCCATGCCTGTAATCCCAGCACTTGGGAGGTAGAAACCAGAGGCCCAAGACCTCAAAGTCATCTTCAGGGACATGTGAGGCCAAGCCCAGCCAGCATGGGTTATATGAGACCCTATAGAATAAAATGAAGTAATAAAATATATAAGATGAAAGAAGGCAAGTCAGACTGTTTTAAAGGGGTAGTAGCAGAAATGCATTCCCAAGCCGTGGAAGAATAGAATTCGTGTAATGGGGAGAAACAAGTTAAGCACCACGAGCCTTTAATCGCAAACTGACATTTACGACTGAAGCAGCTCAGGTCTCACTTAAAACTGAAGTCTCCAGTCCCTTTCTTCTTCTGCCCTCTGGTGGACACTACAGAACAGAAAATTCAGCAAATGTTCTCTAGAGAAAAAGCGCAGTGAGGAGTGGTAAGCCGTTGTATGGACTATCTGGATCCAGGTACCTTACTTCCTTATTGTCCTGGAGGGGAAATAACAATACCCCCATTTAAACATCAGCTGCTGCAAATTCGGGAGATGGACCAATGTTTTCACTAAACTACTCCACGGGGAAGATAAATTGTCATAGGGAAGTAACCCCCTCCCCCACCCTGCTCAGTTTATCCCAAGCAGTCAACAGGTTTTATGGGGCTTGGGTCCCTTTGTTGTTTGGCTTTTCTTTGCATCTGTTTTAGTTCTTTGTTTGTTGCTATTGTTTTCCTTTCTTCTTATTGATAGGATCTTATTCTATAGCCCCTCTGGGGACCTAGAACTCACTACGTAGATCAGGTTGACCTTGAACTGAAAGAGACCTACCCATCTCTGCCTCCTGAGTGCTGGGATTAAAGGCATGCCCCACCACGCCTGGCTGGTTTTATTTTTTGAGACACCCTGGCTATGTAGCTCAGGCGGGCATAAAACTTGAGATTCTCCTGCCTCAGCCTCTCCTTCATGAGCATGAACAAGCATGCGCCAGGAGATGCCATTTATTCTCCTTTGTATTCTACTAGCAATAGCTTTTCCTTCAATTTTCTAAACATGAAAATACTATATATAATTTAAATCCCCACAACCCATGTCCTGAAATAGCCTGTTCTCAGACTTCTTTAAGACCCCATGGTCCTTGCTCCTATTGTTCTTTTAGGACCCAGCCTTGACAAGCTCAATAGAGGCCTGAGTCTCAGTTTACCCTAAGGCAATACCTGGTTCTAAGAAAGACCACAGACTACCCTGTCACCATCCAGGAACAGACCATTCAAAGGGCAGGCAGATCCATTGGCTTTTGATGGGACTGCTCCTAGTGTAGTGTATTCAGAGGTAAACTGGGGTTATAGTGCCCACCACAGAGGGGTATGCAGAACATTCAATGAGCTGATAGAAACTGATCACTTAGAATAATGCCTGGGTCATAGGAAATCCAGGCGGCGGCAGTGGTGGTGTGTGGTAGAACCCAGCATCGACTGGGTGGTGGTGGCACACGCCTTTAATCCCAGCACTTGGGAGGCAGACAGGCAGATCTCTGTGAGTTCGAGGGCAGCCTAGTCTACAAAGTTCTAGGACAGCCAGGGCTGCTACACAGAGAAACCCTGTCTTGGAAAACCAAAACAAAACAAAAACCCAGCGCTCCAGGGACCTCTCAAACCTTTATGAAGCTGAGGAAGCAGTGGACTAGGATCCTATTTCCAGACTTTTTGGTGACACAGACTCAGAAATTCCTTTCATGATCTACACCTATTTGGGTTGGGCTCTGGTTGTTTCCACTGGGAGAGGGATCCCTTCCTGTTTTAACTGCTGAGCGATTTCTTTTTTTTTTCCAGGACTACAAAGCATAAAAGGTTTATCCGCACCCCTCCCCCAGAAAATGCAGCTGCTGCCTCTCTCCAACGCGTGCCAGTTTTCAGTGGTTCCAGGAAGCCCATTTCTACCCATCCATGGGGAACTTCCTTCAATCCCCTCAAGGTGGTTTATCCTTCCGCGGCAGTCACCTGGATGACTTCTGGGTAGCTGTGAACACACATTTCGCTGAAGAGGAAGCAGGAATGAACTATAAGCAATGAGTAGATGATTTGCTTGGGGAAAATGCAAATTATAAACACGGACACTTCGCCTCAAAACCTTGTCAACTGTGTGGAATCAAGGGGAGCATTAGCTGAACGGTCTACAGTTTACAGAGCCGCGTACGAAAACTGGCATCGTGCAAATCTGATCACGTCTGTAATCTTACAAAGCAGTAGCTCTACTGATTCCGCCCTAGACACTCACAGACATGCGCCCCGGAGACACAAGGTTGTACAGGGATGCACGGTGGGGAATAGCAAAGGGCAAGAAAGTATTCCTAGCACAAGAGGATAACAATGATACAAATATTTACTAATGAATTTCAAAGGCAATCTGAGTGAACTAGCGCTCCATGCAGATGTGGAGACTTTAAAAATACGGCGAAAACCTACCAAATGTCATTTATAACTATGCAATAATTATACATAGGGGCATAATCAAGGCTGAAAAGCATTAAAATGCTTTACAAATAAAAAGGATAGTTATGGTTGGGAAGAAGAGGGCACCATTCATAGAAGAGTCTGAAACTATAACTTTTTATGTCCTCATTCAGTAATATGGGTGCTTGTGTTTTATCTTTACAATATTAGATTCCTTTGCATGTATATTTTTATTGTGATAAATATATAACATAAAATTGGACATTCCATTTTTTTTCATTCTAATCATTTTTAAGTTTGTGATTTGGTGGAATTAAATAATCCACCTTTTTGTACAACCATCTATCCCCTCCTCCCCATCTCTACACTTATAGCCAGCTGTGTTTTAAGTTAATCAAGAAATCTTTGTCAGAATTGGAGAGATGGCTCAGACGTTTAAAGTCTCTTACTGAAGACCCCGGGTTCGATTCTCAGTACACGCATGGTGGCTCACAAACACCTGTAACTCCAGTTTCAGGGTGTCCAATGCTCTCTTCTGACCTCCACAGGGACCATTCACGTACGTATGTCTCCCTCCCTCCCTCTCACACACAAAACATTCATACACATAAATTGAAAAAAAAAATCATTGCCCAAGAACATTGTTTTGACTCAGTTTCCTTCTGAGTTTTGCCGTTTTAGCTCTTAGGTCTTTGGTCCATTTAAGTTTTTTCCATTCTTTTGCACGAGTATGGGATCAGAAGGAATCCTCCCTATTTATAAAAGGAGGACCAATAACATGTCAAGTTCAACAGTTCGCTGCTGCAGGGAGCTAAAAGCAGGACTTGGATTTCTCAAAGCAAGGCGCTCGACAATCATCCCCAAAACAAGCAAATAAGCTTCCCGGAAGTCCAGGAGCGGCTCGGGTCCACCCTCACCCGCACCATCCGGATCACGCCTCCGCTCACGAATTTCCGAAACCCTGGAGCGGTATTGGTGTAGGAGGAACAGAGCGGTGGCAGCTCAGCGGTACGCGTCGGAACTCCGCTCCGCTGCAGCCTGTAATCCAGGTCCGGGTCTTCGCCATGCTCTCGCGCTGGAAGCCGGCTGGGCCCGCCCCGGAAGTGGCGGGGCAGAGACAGGCCTAGACTCGGATTGGCTGCTCCGAACAGCTCCAGCTTGGCGCGAATTTTGGCAGTCAGGGGTGTTGGGAGCGGTAGGATGGCGGCTCGGAGAAGCTTGAGATACCCGCGGTCCCCGGGGTAAGTGCAGCCGCCCCGCACGCCTCCCAGGACTGGCTCAGCTTGTTTCAGAGACTCGCCGACCCGGCCTTGGTTCCCACAGGTCCGGCCCTAGAGTCTTGGGGAGGGGGATACAGTCCCAGGGGTCAAGCTGGATGCAACACGGACCCTGCAGCCAAACCAGATCTCTAGAGAGGGACCAAGCAGCCGCTTGTTTAGTATTTGGGATGACCTAAATGCCTAAAGCACATACAGGGTGCGTCAGGCATCTTTTTATTATAAAGACAAATGCATCTCAAAAGAGGTCACCAAATTGTGCTCTGGAAGGTTGGGTCTAGGATCTCCTGGCGAAGGATGTTCTGCGAGTGTCTGGCGCGCATCCAAAACCTGGTAGGGATCTGGGTAAAAAGGTCCTCTGCTGGGTAGGAGGCCTTCCGTAGGAAGATTGCCTATGGAAGATGGTGTTTGTAGGTACCGAAGACACTCGGTTTGCAGTGGAAGATTGCAAGTCAGCTGACTAGGGAAATGTTCAAAAAATCTTCTAAGCCATTGGTTTTTGTTTCAGCATCTTGAGGCTTGAGCCTCGTGAAATCTGTTTCTTCTTCACTCCTAAAACACCGGCGAGTACAACAGAGACTGTGTAGGTGGTTATCTTAGGGATTTCCATCGTTTGAAGGTGCTCTAGGCCAGCCAAACCAGAAGGAAATTTCTTTGTGTTTTTGGAGCACAGACAAGAAAACACAGGAAAGAGTTTAGGCTAAGCAGCTTTTGTACCTGGTTTTCGTACCTACTTCCGTCATGGGGGGCAGTCAGAAGTCACTTAAGCTTTCTGAACCCCGGAATTGTAGTCTGTAGTTATCACAGATCAAATGTTCTGTCAGTCTGAGAATCGGCTAAAGCTGGGAACTGGTTAGAAATGGGAAATCTTAGCCTCAGCTGAGAGTTTCTGTGGTGTCAAATACTGGGGGTGTGGTGACTTCAGGCAATTTGTTTTTAACCAGCCAGCTAGACAGAGCAGCGATGGATAGCCCCCAACTTCAGTTCTGGAGATGAAACCTAGGGCCCATGTGTGCTGGACAAGTGTACCATTGGCCTGCATCTCCAGCCCAAGCCTTTTAGGCAGCTCTGACATCAGCTAAAATTTGAGAACCAGGGTTAGAGTACAGGAGGTCCTCACGCAGATACGCAGACTAAGTCTTGGGAAAGTTCTCTTCCCGGTGCTGCCTTTTGAAAGCATCTTATTGCAACTCATAGGAAGATCCCCTTTGTGTTGTAACCTAACACACACAGTGGAGATGGTTTACAAAGTGGGGTGTTGAGCACACGCCCCTTCCCATTCTGCTTCCTTTGTTGCCATGGTGTCTGCTCTGCTCGGTGAGCACTGATGAAGAGAACAGTTGGGACAGGGTTGCCTGGGAAGAATCACAGCTTATATAGTGCTTTCCCGAATTACTTAAAATATTTTAATTCCCTCTTTTAACTCTGTTGTTTTAATAGTGCAAAGCAATCAAAGAATGCTCTGGGAAGAACACATTCTAGGAGACATGTAAGTAGTCTTTGTTAACATGATCTTTTTAAACCATTGAAAGCAAAATCATTCCATGGGAAATACATTTTTGTAGACTACTCTTGGCAAACTTTTTTTTAATGATAGCTTATAATTTGCTTTATCAGTTGGCAGTAGTAGCACACGCCTTTAATCCCAGCATTCAGGAAGTAGAGACTGGTGGATCTCTGTGATTTTGAGATCAGCCTGGTCTACAAAGTGAGTTTCAGGACAGCTAAGGCTACACATAGAAACCCTGTCTCAGGAGAAGAAAAGTGCTTTTTCCAGTATGATGGAGAAAAGGAACTTCATCAACACTTTAGAACCATCTTTTGCCGGTTGGTAGTGGCGCTTGGGAGTCAGAGGCAGGTGGATCTTAGTGAGTTTGAAGCTAACTTGGTCTACAAAGCAAGTTCCAGGAGAGCCAGTACTGTTACATGGAGAAACCCTGTCGAAGGAAGGAAGGAAGGAAGGAAGGAAGGAAGGGAGGGAGGGAAAAGAAAAAATTCCTTTTGCACCTAGATTGACATTAATTTTATTCAGATATTGACATCGTGTAAAAGTTGTAAAATGTTCTGTATGGTCATTTTTCACTTATAGCAATTTCTCCCTGCCACAGTTTTTAACAGCTATGTGGCCTATGGTATTCCTCTTGGTTCATGTAATAGTTTTGTTTTTCTTCAGGAAGTGTTAAAGGCAAGTGCATTTGCTTAACACTCTTGATGGCTAATTCCAAATACCTGTATCGCCGTTTCCAGTCAGGGCTATGAAGGTGCTTGCTTTTCCCGGTTAGGACTAGCTCTTCGGAGCGCTGGTGGCCTTGTGGGTTGCCTGACTTTCTCCATCTTCAGCAGGTCCACCCTGCTGCCCTGACTCTAACCTGGATGGTGTTCCCTCACTGTGGGAATCTCTAGCATACCTCTGGGATCCTGCTCCGCTTTCCTGCCCACCCCCACTCAGGGTGGCTAAAGTTCACTGTGCTCAGGGGTGGGGTGAGGGTGGGGAGTGGTTCTCTACTCGCTTACACCCCTTCCCAGCCTTTCTGGTCGGCTTTCAGGTCCTCCCTGGGGGAGGGAGTTACCTTGCCTGTGAGGGAGGCATCCTTGGCTGGAGAGCAAATCTTAGGCTGTCTCTTGGCACTTCTCCATATAACACTCTGGATGCAGCTTTCCCCGAGGCTTGGGCTTTTGTCTGCCAGTGTAATTGCATGTCCTTAATAGCTTCCAGACTTTCCTTATCTGTAATAATATCCTCTTGTATTTTGTAAGCTACCATAGAAGATGATCTCATTTTGGTCTTTCATCGGGATTAGGGTTTCGTCTGTGTATTGAAACAGGTGGAACTGGAAGTCCTCTTCTCTGTCAGATAGGAAGGCAGCTTTACCCTGTGTGCAGTCAAAACTGCTTATGAGCTTATGCCCTTTTTCTGGGGGAGGGGATCATACTGTCCCCTACATCAAGGATTTAGGTGAATGATACCTGTGGGCCAAAGGTAGCCTGCCATTTATTTTTGTACAGCCTTGTGAACTAAGAATGGTTTTTGTTGTTTGTTGTATTTTTAAAATGATTTAAATAAACTGGATGGGATGGCTCACACCTGTTTATAATCCTAGCACTTAGGAGGACTCCTGTACATTGAGTTCAAAGTCAGCCTGGAATTCACAGTGAAACTCTGTCTCAAAAAATCAAATAAAGGTGACCTAAATGAAGATGTCTCATGCCCTGTGAAAATGATAGGAAATTTCAGTGCCCAGAAGTCAGTTCTGTTGAAACACAGCCATGTTCATCCCTCCCTAGCTTGTCAGTATCTGCTTCTGTACATAATGGTTCTGCTTAATAGTTGGTAGAGAGATCTTGTGGCCCCCAGAACCTAGTCTACTCTGGTCTCATACAAGTGTTTCACCTTTCCCTGTTCTGAATCATCAAAGTCGTGGCGAGGTTCAAAAGTGTCAAGTGCTTCTAGGACTCCTTAGGAGGACCGTAGGGTCCTCAGGAGAAGAGAGTGGTCCACACGGTCTCCATCTCAGTGACTGCTTTTATCCACTTTTAGAGAGCTGGTCAAAAGCACAAGCCTAAGGACCCATTTGACTTCGCGGATAATTCTGCCTCAAGCATGCTGGGAGAAATGGGAGATGAAGAGCTGCTGAATGAGTCCTTCGGTTCGTGTTCTCCATTCCTGTCAGGACGTGGACGCTGCGGAGCTTAGTTAGTGTGTCTGTTATCTAAGGCCGGAGCAGGTTTGGCCTGGAGAACCTCCCCACACCAGCCAGCCCCCTTTCCCTTCCTTTGGTCCCTGGACACTGTAAATTTACTTCCAAACTCTATGGCTTTGTCTCTTCTGACATTTCATATAAATAGAATCATAGACTATCTATCCCGTTCTGGTGAGCTTCTTTGAATTAGCATCACGTTTTCAAGGTTGTAGTGTGTATCTACTTCATTCTTAAATTTTATGGCTTACTAATGCTCAGTTGGCTTTGGGTTCTCTTTATCTTGATCATAGTGCTGTGCTGCTATGAACATTCATGGTCAAGGTTGTGTGTGTGTGTCTGTGTGTGCATGTGTGTGTCTGTGCGTGCGTGTGTGTGTGTGCATGTGTGTGTCTGTGCGTGCGTGTGTGTGTGAGTGTGTGCATGTGTGTGTCTGTGTGTGCGTGCGTGTGTGTGAGTGTGTGCATGTGTGTGTCTGTGTGTGCGTGTTTGTGTGAGTGTGTGCATGTGTGTGTCTGTGCGTGCATGCGTGCGTGTGTGTGCATGTGTGTGTCTGTGTGTGTGCGCGCGTGTGTGCGTGTGTGTGCATGTGTGTGCGCGCGTGCGTGTGTGTGAGTGTGTGCATGTGTGTGCGTGCGTGCGTGTGTGAGTGTGCATGTGTGTGTTTGTGCGTGCATGCGTGCGTGTGTGTGTGAATGTGTACATGTGTGTGTCTGTGCGTGCGTGTGTGTGTGCTGTTTTCTGAGACATACCCCTAGGAGAACTGTTGAATCTATAGTGAATTTATACCAACTTTGGTGTTAACATTCTGACTTTTTTTATTCTAGCCAGTCTAGTGAGTATAAAATAATGTCTCCTTGTGGTGTTGTATGCATAGAGAGTTGATCTATACACAAACTTTACGATTTTAACCAGTTTTAAACACAGCAGTCCGTGGCAGAGAGGTCCGTTCACACTGCTGAGCAGCCATCTCTCACCATTCATCTTCAGAACTCTCAGTATCCTGAACTCAGACTCCATAGCCAGTAAGCAGCTCCCTGTTCTCATGGCCCAGCCCCAGGCAGCCACTCTGTGAATTGGGCGACTCTAGGAGCCTCACGTGAGAGGAAGGTACATGGCTGTCTCAGTTAGGGTTGCTATTGCTGAGATGAAGCACCGTGGCCAGGGCAAGCTGGGAGGAAAGGGTCTGTTTGGCTTATACTTGTCTTCACTGCTATCATCAAGGGAAGTCAGGACAGGAACTCAGGACAGAAACCTGGGGGCCGGAGCTGATGCAGAGGCCATGGAAGGGTACTGCTCATTGGCTTGGTTTTCCTGGAGCCTGCTTTCTCATAGAACCCTGGACCGCAGGTCCAAGAATGGCCCCACCCACAATGGGCTGAGCCATCCCCCATCAATCACTAATAAAAAAAATGCCTTACAGGTTTGCCTGCAGCCTAATCTTCTGGAGGCATTTTCTCACTTGAGGCTCCCTCCTCTCAGATGACTGTGTCAAGTTGATATCAAACTATCCAGCACATTTGTCCTCTTGTATCCGGCTAATCTCATCCAGTGTATTGCCTTTCGGGTCATGACTTTCATCGTGATTTAGAACTGCCTTTTGTCCTGTTACGAGTGTCTGTGGTGCTGGGGACCGGCTCAGGATCTTGCCTACAGGACAGGACTGTTTCTGTAAGCCCGATCCCAGCTGAATGTGGTAGCACAGTGTCATCATTGCCCCTGGGAGGTAGGGGGAGGCAGTAAAACCAGCCATCGAAAGTCATGCTTGAGTATACAGCCTGGGCTACATGAAGCTTGATCTCAAAACACAGCAGCAACAGAAAGCGGACTTGGTCATGCACTCATCTGTCAGTGGAGATTTGGTGTGCAGATGTCTCTGATTCCCTGCTTTCACTATTGTGCAGGTGCCCACAAATAGGACCCCTGGGGTGTACCAGTTGTAGGGCTGTGTGTTTGAGGACTCCTCGATGCCGTGTCCCACAGTGGCTGCCACAGTTTATATCTTACATCGGTGTGTGTGGCTCAGCTCCTGGCTTACCCAGCCTTGCTACTTTGGGCTTTCTCCTCTTTCTTCTCTTTCCTCTTTTCTCTTATCCTGGTTAGACTTATGTAAGAGATGTGAAATGTATCTAATGGTTGTATGCACATTTTTATAATGATGTCAAATATCTTCTGGGCGTGCTCTTGATAGGTTGTTAATCTTTAGAGAAGCTGACTTGTGAAAGTTCAGGACTGATTTCTTTATCTTTGGGCATCCACTGATGACCCTCACTCCCAGCTGTAGAAGAAATCAATACCATTGCTTAGTTGAGGGCATCACGGAATATATTATCAGCCTTAAAATCATGCAGTTGACATGTTCAGTATTTAAACTGCTATTTATTTTGGAAAGAAAACTTTTAAGTTTGTACATCATACTAACATTGGAACATGAAAAAAAAAAAAACCCTGGTTGCTTGGCTCTTCCCAGCTCCCCTTGCAGCAATTACGTCTGTTGAGACTGGTCACCTCCTTTGCCCCTTCAGATTTTCCATCCCTGCTGTATCCACCGCCCCCAGCAGGTAGGAGCAGCCTTAGCATCCCCTTTCCCTGCCTTTCCACCAAGGCCATGTTGTCACCTACGTCTTCCTTCAGGGTTACTTCTTGCTCTAGTGTAAAGGCCTTGCAGTCCAGGTGAACTCGAGAGGACAGGCGCCCTCCCCAGTGCCATCTAAATGCTCGGTGCTTGTGAGTGATGAAGTCAGAGGGGCACACTGTAAGCTTGAGCAGTTGATAACTAGTGCAGCGGCCTCGAGGGGTGTGTTCCATAAAGCCCGTGCATAGTGGTAAGGAAAGACCCGATTAGGCTTCCTACTCATGTTTATCTTGTATTATGAAAACATTTCTACTAATATACATGAGATATAGATATATAATTTGAAAACATGCCTTTAAAATTTCTTTTTAGGTTTATTTTAGTTTGTGTGTATGAGGGTTTTGCTTGCATGTATGTCGGTACCGTGTGCATGCTTGGTGGTTATGGAGGCAAGAAGAGGATGTCTTGGAGTTAGAGTTACAGAAGGTTAAAAGCCACCTTGTGGGTTCTGGGAATCAAGTCCAGGTCCCTGACAAGAGCAACAAGTGCTCTTAGTGAGTGAGCCTCTTCTCTAGCCCCTGAAGCCATGTTTTTATTGGCAATAAGGTTTACATCTTCTATTACTGAGGGACGAGTTAAAACATATCTGGGAAGTGGCATGTGGGATAGACTTTGATTTGCTTGACCATTTAAACAAAGATTGCCTGGTATCCCTGTCAGGGAATACAACCTCATTCCCTAGACAGCCCGTGGTAAATTTGCTCTTCTGTGTTTATAGACCCTCCTCTGCACAGTACTGTTATTGATGCCAAAGAGGAGCTGCCCAAAAGGCCGCCTGTCTTTCCAGCCACTCACGGAAGAGAAGAGGGCAGAAGGTATGGGTCCATCTCAAGCAGATTGTTTGGTTTGTTTGGGGAGGGCTAAATTTACTTTAACTATTTTTTAATTATATGTGTGGGTGTGTGCAAGTGAGCACAGGTGCCCTAGGACTCCAGAAGCGTTGGATCCCCTGGTGCCGGAGTGTTTTGGTTAGGGCTTTATCTCTGTGAAGAGACACCATGACCATGATAATTCTTATAAAGGAAAGCATTTAATTGGGGTGGCAACTTACAGTTCAGAGGTTCAGTCTGTTATCGTCATGGTGGAACATGTTGGCCTGCAGGCAGACACGGTGCTGGAGAGGTAGCTGAGAGTTTTACATCTTGATATGCCAGCAACAGTGTAACGTCTGTATTACTTCATGTACTACAATCTTGTAGTGCCTGTACTACGTGTATTACGGTACTATGCCTGTACTACGGGATGGTTCACGGGCCTGGCAAGGGCCTGGAGATTGACACACACAAATACAGACAGAGACAGACACAGGTCTTGAATTCCCCAAGAATGCCCCCTTTATTGTGTTCCAGGGCAGCTTTTTAGGAATCCTTAACTGATAGCCACGCCCCAGCCAAACCCACCAGAAACCACTCCCCTACCATCAGGAACTCCTGAGGGTCTCGTGCTCAGAGCTGCTGCAAACACAGGAAAACAAGTTGTTTTGCTCAGAGCAGCAGCAAGCATTGGAAAAACAAGTTGTTTACAGGAAATTTAGGATCTGGGGGTCCACAGTCCCCAACACAACAAGAAGTGAACTGCCTCACTGGGCATGACTTGAGCTTTTATGAGACCTCAAAGACCACACCTCCTCCAATAAGGCCACACCTTCTAAAGGTGTCACTCCCAATGAGCTTGATGGGGACAATTACATTCAGACTACCCCACAGAATTACAGATGGTTTTGTAAGGCCTGCCCGCGGCAGGTAGAAAACCCTTCACGGCCCACTGGTTTTCACGCTGAAGTGTTGTGTGGAGAATGTCATGTACACGGTGCTGATGGCTTGTTGTTTGGCAGCTTGAACCTTTCTGAGACTGAAGCAAGAGGAAGCAGTTCTCTAAAGAGCAGCACGAAAAAGGTATGTGGGAGTGTTCGTTCTTCTCTCTATTTCTAAGAAACCTTTTTACTTGGAGTAGATGCAAATAGAGAAAAAATCCTGTAGCAGTATTTTTTCATACAGAAAAGTCTTAGAAATGTCTTATAATAATGATATTCACTTGTGTGTGTTTGTATGTATGTGGCATGCACAGTATGCAGCGGACAGCTATGGGGAGTCCACTCGACACGTCCACCCTGTGGGTCTTAGGGACTGAACTGGACAGCTGTGCTGTGGGGTCCACTCGACACGTCCACCCTGTGGGTCTTAGGGACTGAATGCAGACCTGGTGGCACATGCCTCTCCCTGTCACACTATCAGACTAGCCCAGGAAAAATATGTTTATACTCAAAGTGTTAATGAAAGACTTCTCAGCTTTTCTTCCCCAGCCAGTTGCTGTGGCATTCAATAGTGTACTCAGGTTGTGGCTCTCAAAGGCCGAGAGAGCTAGGTGACGTTCTAATCCTGCTGTCTTCTGGATGCTGTGCTCAGTTTTGATGTTTATGAGTGAGAAATGGGAATCCCATAGTTTCTTGACAAGAAATCATAAGATTTAACTTTTCTTTGTTTGGAAACAGGGTTTCTCTGTGTAACAGCCCTGGCTGTCCTCAAACTCACTTTGTGAACCAGGCTGGCCTTGAGCTCGCAGAGATCCGCCTGTCTAAGAGTTGAATTTTCTAAACAAGCAATGCTGTTTCCTTCATAGCCAAGGAGAAAGCTTGAGCCCATCAGCGATGAGTTTGAGAGCTCTGAAGATGACGTAAGGAGGAAAGTGAAGTCCACAGAGAGAACACATGCACAGCAGCCCCAGGTATCACCCCCTGTGAAGCCAGCACAGCAGCCCCAGGCGGCACCCCCTGTAAAGCCAGCCGAAAACCTCATGGCCAAGAAGATGAGACCCCAAGGCACTCAGCCCTCTGCTGTAGGAGAGACTCGAGCAATGCAGAGACCGCTGGTGAGCAGTGTTTGCCATCTGCCCCTCAGAGAGAAACGTTCATTAAAAAGATTAAGAAGGGGCTGGAGAGATGACTCAGTGTTCTTCTTGAGGATTGGAGTCCGATTCCCAGTACCTGTGCTATGCAGCTTACACTGCTTATAACGGCAGCTCCAGGGGCTCTGACACCCCTGACTTCTGTGGGTACTTGCGTTCCTGGGCATATACTCCTTTCCCCCATACACATCATTTAAACATAGCAAAAATAAGTCTAAGAAAAAGATTAAGGAGGAATTTTTTTTTTAATTTTAAAAATAAGTTTAGAGCCTTTTATTACAGAAAGCAATGCTTCTTTTAGAAACCCAGAAAAATCTAGAAAGGAAGATAAATTTATCTACAGTTGTAAAATCCAGAACAACATCTGTGTCCTGGTGTGTGCTCCAGTCCTTCTGGGGCGCCCTTTAGCCAGTGCTGCACTCCTCCCGTGGGGACCCATGCTATCTATATACAGTTTTGATGCTTTGATGGGTATATTAATTATTTTTGATATTGTAATATGATCACATCCTTTCTCCCTTCCCTTTCCTCCCTCCCAACCCTCCCATACACCCCATTGTTCTTTTTCAAATACATGGCTTCTTCTTTTCCTAATTGTTAGGGTGTATGGGTGTGTGTGGGTGTGTCTTCCTCAGTGTGTAAGTACAACCTGCTCGGTGATGGATTACAGTGTAGCAAAGTCTTCATATACCCTTGATTTGTTTCCTTATGAAAAAAAAATGCTATGGGTCATAATTGTCATGATTTTTGAAATAACTAGAATACAGTATCTTGGTTCATGTTCTTATATATTGTTTTATTAACTCATTTGGTTGACTATTTTAGAGAGATAATTTTGCTTATATCGGTAGCCAAAGCTATACGCTCACGAATTACATGTGTACCCTCGGATGTGGTCATAGGTATTCTTCTAAGAGGAATGGAGATTAGACACAGGGTGGAGTGAGACGGGTGAAGCAGCCGCAGCACCGGTCACAGCCACCAGAAGCTGGACTGGACAGAGAATGCTTTTACCCCCACCCCGACTTACTGGTGTGCTGGGGTCTGCCTGTGTCCTGACCACCTCACTTCCGCCCCACAGGAGGCTCTCTGCTAAGACTGCCCTCCCTGCCCAGACAGGACGGCACCTACTTCAGCCTTCGCTTCCCACCTGACTGCCTCACTTCCACCCCACAGGAGGCTCTCTGCTAAGACTGCCCTCCCTGCCCAGACAGGATGGCACCTACTTCAGCCTTTGCTTCCTAAACCTTTGTCTGCACAGTCTTTGGCTCAATTTCTCTTCAGTCTGTGTTTGTCCCAACTCTGGGTCACATTTTCTTGTGTGTCCATTTTAGTCTAGAATTTGAAATGTAGTCCATGTTGTTTAGCGATGTTGAGCTGTGTCCAGTCCTTCTGGGAGTGGCTGTCCCGGCAGATTCAGCCTCACATTTGCCTGGGGTTTGGAGTTACAGGCTTGATTTTATCCTTTGCTAGGGCGAGTGTGTAAAAGCCTAAGACATTTTCCCATTGTCTAACTTAGTGGGACTCCACCTCTCTGTTTGTCTATAATGGCTTCACACTCATGACCACAGAGTTGGTTGCTTACACACGCACGTTTATCATGTCGTAGTTTTCACAGGCTGGGTGTCCAGCTTCAGTTTAGCTGGCTCCTCTGCTCGGGGTGGTAGAAGGCGGAAATCCAGGGCTGACATCTCAGGTGAGGCTTGAATTTCTTCTTAAAGAGTTTTCGAGTTGTTGACAGAATTAAGTTCATTGAGGCTTTAATCCTGAGGTCCCTGTTCTCTCCTCTCGGAGGTTGAGGTTGCTCTCAGTTCCTACAGACGCTATTCTGTGGCCCTTGAAGGATGGTGCCTGTACCTGCAGAGCCCAGCCCCAGACTCCCCAGGTTCCCACAGTGGCGTCTCACCCACCTGTAGAGTCCAGGGAACAGACCTGGTCCTGTTCCCAGGTGCTATCTGCACTCGAGAGGGAGGGAATTGTGCCTGTCAGTCATCTTGGAATTCTTCATACTACAACCCTTGTGCTCTTCCTGGTAGATCCCATCAGGAGCTGGTTTTAGGATTTGTTAGGCTAGCGGGTCTCGAGTGGGGGGTTTCTCAGCATGTTGTCATTGCTGTCACCTGTCTCAGGCACGATACCATCAGCACCCACAGATCTCCTCACTGCTGCAGCGTCTTGTGTGTAGCTTCATGTACTAGGACCCCTTGACCCGAGATTGTTCTTCAGTTTTTCCTACGAACTAAATAAGAACTGTAGTTAATATCAATCGATGGCTTGCTAATGTTGTTGTCCTAATCTTTAAATTTTAGAGAAAAAAGTTTTCCTAAATAACATATACTATTTTTTTATTTTGTTTTTTGGTTTTTTTTTTTTTTTTTTTTTTTTTTGGTAGAAAACTCAGAAGAAAGTGAGGCTGTCCCCTGGCAGAAGGAAGAAATCAAGAAGTGAAGCCACAGACTCAGGTAAAGGATGGTGCTCTATACCTTGTCACTTGTATAGCGGATCTCTAAGGTTTCCCATTTTTGAGTTGTCTTAGTTGTTGAAAGAGCAAACTTTATTGGGGAGGGCGTGGTGTTGAGATGGTGTCTCTCTGGACAGCCCAGGCTGGCCTTGAACTCACAATATCCATCTGCCTCTGCCCCCCAGAGTACCGGAGCTAAAGGCATACACCACCATCTTGGCTAAAACTGCCACTTGATTAAGAAATTATGACTTTGGAGTAACATTTTTTTTCTGTTTTATCATTTTATCATGAATTTAAAAAAATGAATACTCAGGCCGGGCGGTGGTGGCGCACGCCTTAAATCCCAGCACTTGGGAGGCAGAGGCAGGCGGATCTCTGTGAGTTCGAAGCCAGCCTGGTCTATAAGAGCTAGTTCCAGGACAGGAACCAAAAGCTACGGAGAAACCCTGTCTCGAAAATCAAAAAAAAAAAAAAAAAAGAATACTTATGCATGCATATAATATTGTTTGATAAAATCCAACCCCACTCTTTCCCTCTCCTCCTTATTTATCTAAAGTTTAGTTCCCAGTACCCACACATCAGGCAGTTTACAATAGTTCCAGGGCATCCGTACCCTCTTCTGGCCTCTGGGTGTCTGCACACACACAGATACATAATAAAGCTAGAGTCTTGTGTAGATGGAATTGCTGCAGCAGTGAGTCACGTCCTTGCTCACTACAGTCGATTGTAAAGAAAGCCTGACTCCTCCCCCTTTGGTTTACTTTTCCCTTTCTTTCTTTATGTTTTTAGCCCTTGCAATGGTAGAGATTTAGCTCCTGGCCTTGCCCATTCTATAGCTCCAGCCTCTTTATGAACTGCCTCATGGACATTTTTATGCACAATTTATCAACATGGTTTTGTTATCAACATGTTTTTATTCTTCTTGGAGAAGTAGAGAGTGAAGTTGCTGAGTCATAAGATAGATATATCCCATTTCCCAAGTCACTGTAAACTCCTACCATATGCTTGCTGCACAGTTAAAAACAGCACTGAAAATAGGAATGGCGGCGACATGTAAATAGGTGTAACAGAGTTTAGTGGAGCCGCAGGAGACCCCACTCTGCAGCACATTGATAGTCGGCCCTGTCTCAGAAGGCCAGCCATAGTCGCAGGAAGGAGTGACAGCAGGCAGGTTTGTTCTCTGACCTGGGGAGGGAAGAAATGAATAGAGTTTTAGCTCTTTTTACACCCTGGAGGACTACTGTCTTCAGGGTTCAGAGTCCAGGACCTAGAGCCAGTTTGCAGATAATGAATGTATTAAACTGACATGTGCTTAATATTCTAGATGCTTCTGAAAGTATGCACATTTGGTGTCTAGAAGGAAAGAGACGTGGTGACATCATGGAGCTGGATGTTATTTTGTCTGTGTTTGAGAAAACCTTCCTGGAGTATAAGTAAGTCCCTTGACGTTGTAATCCTTGGACCTTGCTCAGAGTACTGCTGTCTCCATCCTAGTTCCATTGTTATCACATTTAAGATGTCTTTACATTTTCATTATAATCCTTCTACATACATTTATTACGCTAGTTTCAAGTTATTGAATCATCTAGTCTAGACGTTTCTCGTAGGCATTAATTTAATCTAGAAAGAAGTGTTTCCCCAGTGCTGTTAGTGTTTCTCCATCAGAACGTGTATGCCAGCTGTGGCCACACTCCAGGCTCTTCTATCTCCCACGAAAGCAGTGGTGAGGGAAGAGCCCGTGGCTGCGCAGCTCCCGTGGCTCATGCAGAGAACAGGCTGCAGCAGGGCTTCACTCCTGTGGTTCTCTGTAGCACGCTTGCTTTTGTGCCGCCAACCAGCTCCCAAATCACAACTCAGAGACTTCTTGTTAGTTATGGATACTCAGCCTCATCTTATGCTTGCCCCACAAGCTCTTATAACTTAATTAACCTGTCTCTCTTCATCCACATTTGCTTTGGGCTTTTTACCTTTCTTTTATTCTGAATGTCCTACTCCGTGTCTGGCTGGCTGGTGGCTGCCTGGCTGACCCTGAGCAGCTCTCTCTTTTTCTCCCTCATTCTCTCTCCATTTTCCCTTCTAACATAGATTTCTCCTCCTTCCTATTATCTCGGCTCACCAGCCCCACCTATCCCTCTACTGCCTAGAACGTTTATTGGACGATCAGTTTTTTATTAGACCAATCAGGTGCCTTAGGCAGGCAAGGTAAGACAGCATCACGTCTTTACATGGTTAAACAAATGCAGCATACACAACAACATATGTGACCCGTCTTTGCATAGTTAAAGCACTGTTCTACAGCACCCCTCTGGGCAGCATCAAGATAGATGCGCACCTTTGGTTTTCTTCTCCAGCCTGGGGGTCACTGGGGAAAGCTGGAGAAACAGCCAAAGCAGTCAGGGCTCACTCGCTTTCCTCCAGTGCAAGTCCAGCTTTGTACTCTCCTCAAGAGAGTGACTCATAAAATCTAAGATCTTAAACAAAACTATTTTAAAATGCAGCCTGGCACAGTGGGTCTGAGTGGACTAGTCACACCCCACTGTGACTGCATCTGGCCTTTCTGAGAACAGGACCCACTGGGACGATGGTCAGCTAGTCAGTGAGTCAGCGAGAGTGGAAGCTTAGGAATCTGGAGGGCAGAAGCTGCATGCTGGGGGGGAGGGGCTGTGGAAGCTCCTCTGCTGCTGTAGGAGATTTGCCCAACACTTACTTCCTGAAAGAAGTTTATCTAGGAAGGCAGGCTTACGTCCAAGGAGGGATCCCCATCCTGCTGTGAGCCACAGTGTGGGGCCCACCGCTGACACTGGTCTTGGACTTGGTAGAGCTCACTAAGGTGTTTAAGGGATGGTGTGGCAGTGAAGTGTGGCAGACTGCCCTCTTCAGTCATGGGTGGGGTCAGTGGGCGGAATCCTCACCATCGCTCCAGAGGAATGCTGGTGGACGCCAGGGGGCTTGGTGCCCCACTGTTGTCTTCTTCCTGCTGCTGCGATAAAATATCCTGAGAAGCAGCTTAGAAGGAAAGGGGTTTATTTTAGATCACAGTTTTGGGCTGTGTTCAGCACTGAGGGAATTGGCCGCATGACCCTGAAACAGCTAGTCACTTCCACTGTCTGGGGAATGCAGACAAGCGTGCTAATCCTGCTGGCTTTCTCCACTTTATATAGCCATGCCCCTACCCATGAATGGCGTCACCTATGTCCAGGGTGGGTCTTCCCACAGCAGTTAACTCTACAGGAAGATCCCTCCCAGGCCTGTCCCTGGACACCCTGGTCTAGACTGTCCCTGCTGAGGCGGTCTTCCCGGTGCTCTCGATTGTGTGGTTGACAGAACTAACCATCCCACCGCATCTACCAACGCTCCTCATCCCACTTTTCCTCTGTCCTCCCCCTCGTTCCCTGCTGCCGCCACTCCAGAGCTGTCAGCCATGGTGCTGTCTACCCAGGGCAGAGAAGTGCATAGTCACCCCTGCAAACAGTGCTGCTTCAGCTGTCCTGATAGCCGTGAAGTAGACAAGTAATGTTTTATTGTGAAAACACATCACAGAATATTCCATTGGCCGTTTCTTTAAGTGCAGAATGGTGGGTTTCTGCACTCTGTGCCGCGCACTTCTAGAACTTGCTCATTTCGCAGAACTGCAGCTGTTAAAACAGTTGACCACTTTCTCCTCTCCATAGCAGATGCTTTGTGATTACTGGTGGATTTTTGTTCCTCGCTCAGTTCTTTCTGTGTAGATAACCAGAAGTGCAACTGCTGGGTGGATCACATGATACTTGTTTTTTATCTTTTAAACTGTCTGATGTTTTTCTGAGATCTCCACACCGTTTTATACTTCTGCCCTCAGTGACTGGGAGAATGGCTCAATAGAAGGAGGGGTTGCTGTGCAAACACAAGGACTCCCGTGTGGATCCCAGCATCCACATGCAAAGCTAGGTGTGGCTGTGCAGATGGAGACAGGAGGGCAGCTGGGGCTTTTTGCCTCCAGCCTAGGTCCTGGTTTAGTGGGAGACCCAGTCTCAAAGGAGTAACGTAGAGAGTGATCGAGGAGGGCACCTGTTATCCTCTGTCCTCTGCAAAGGCACAGACGTGTGCATGCCTTGCTCCCCACCACCACATTGCAACTTGTCCACCACTTGTTCGGTATTTAATGCTCACGCGTGTGGATGTAAGCTTGTTGGGTATTTAACGCTCACGCGTGTGGATGTAAGCTTGTTCTGTAGCTCTCATTTGCTCCCCTCTTGCTTGGTGTGTGTGTGTGGTAGCCGGTAGCCATCTTTCTGTTTTCTTTCAAGTCCTTTGCTCATTTTTTCAGTTGGACGTTTTATGCATGTGCTGATTTTTAGATACATTTGGATATTGTTCCTTTATCAGATTTACGGCTTGCAGATGTTTCCTTGCATTCCGTGTGTTGCCTTTTCATGCTTTGGTTGTTCATTTGCTGTTCAGAGCTACTTAGGTCAAGTGGATGCAGTTAGCCAAAACGCACACACGAAGAAATATATAACCCAAGTAGATCTGTATCTGTTTTTCCTAAGAAATAGTTGCAAAATACTCAACACAATATTAGTAAATTGATTTCAACAATGTATTAAAAACAAATACTACCGCCAAGTAAGATTCATCCAAGATATACAAGACCAATTCAACTTTAGAAAGCAAAATAAATATTTCCAGGCTAAAGGTGAAAAGTTAACACGATCATGTGTTAAATTCAGGGAAAGTATTTGACAAAACCCAATAGCCATGCATGGTTTTTTAAATTAAATTAGGATAGATGGAGCTTCTTTAACTTGATAAAGAATTATCTACAAGGAACTTAGAGCTAGCATACCAATGACGGGGAAGTGGGGGGGTGGGTAGAGAAAGGCTTTCCCATCAGCGTCAGCAAGCAGGCAAGGCTGTCCCCTCTCAGCAGTCTGACATTATAATGTACGTCTTAGCTAGCACAGTAGATAAGGGAAAAGAGCTGAGAAGTATGGAGACTGCAAAGAACAATCCATTACATCGCAGGGACTAGCGGAATCTGAAATCAAAGCCTAGCACCACTGGCGTAAAGTAATGCCCCAGATAAGGTCTTATGTAAGAGCTGTGGGAAGAACAGTCCAAGACTGGCAGAAGAACTCGAGGCGGAAGTGCATAAATGCAGCGGTATTGCTCATTTATAAATAGACTCAGTACCGTCAGCGTGTCAGTTCTTCATGACTTCTAGTGCCAGGCAATTTCAGAATCCCTGTTGTGGGTATTAACAGACAAATCCTCGTGTTCCTGGAGAGGAAAAGTTGAGAGTGGCTGGTGCTGCCGTAGGCTCACTATAAGCTGTGGCGCTCAGTGCAGTGCAGTGCTGGAGAAAATAACAGACGGCAGGGAGCCTGCATGGGGTTTGCACAGTGGAGGCAGTCAAAAGCAAACGGTGCTGCAGGCTGGCTGTGGGGTGCACACCTTAATCCCAGTTCTCTGGAAGCAGAAGCCAGCAGGTCTACAGTTGTGTTCTAGGCCATCCAAGGCCACATAGAAACCCTGTCTCAAAAATGAAAAGAGACACAAGCACTACAGCAGGGGGACATTCGTGAGCAACCAGTACTGCCCCTTAACACACTCAACTCAGACTGGATCACAAACCTAAATGTAACCCTAAACCAGCAAACTCCCGGAAGAGAGCGAAAGGGAAAGCACAGTGTCTGGGATTTGACAGTGACTTGCTAACAGCAGGAACACAACCCAAGAGTTAATAACTTCTTCTGCAAGATACTGTCAAGCATGAAAAGATCGTCCACAGAGTGGAAGAAAAGCTTTGCAAGAGATTTATTTGTTCCCCACCGACCCATGCTTAAGCAGGCAATCCTAATTACACCAGGGGGATCAGAAAGAAAGTAGAACTTGAAAAGCAGGGATGTGCTAGGAAAGGGAGAATAGGAGTGAATGATGAGTGAGCCTTGATCAAATAACATGTGTGTATAAAAGTATAAGAGAATAAACAGTTTTTGAAAGATATATATGATAAAGGACTCAGAATTTACGAAGAACTCAATGATAAAACTACCTGATTTGGGGTGTGGCTCAGTGGTAAAGGGCTTTTCTAGACTGCTCAAGGCCCTAGTTTGTCAATTGACAACTCAGTCCAGTCATAGGCTGGAGATCTAAGAGCAGTTACCGTGTCCTGCCTCAAGGTTCCCAGAGCCTGTCCACCAGGTTTCTTCTCTTTCATTTGCTCCCTGGTCCTTTCCTCTCACTTGTCTCTCCCTTCCCCTCTTTTATTCCCAATTTTATTAAGTATGAGAAAAGCTATAGGTTTTACATTATTATATTAGGTAATTAAACAATATGTGCCAAACTGTACGTACTTATGTATCAAGTAAATGAAATGCATCCTTCAGAATCCTTTCTGATACCTATTTTGGTTTTCTTAAAACAATTCACAGACAAGGAGTAGCGTCTGAAAGATGTTGTCAAGCCATCAACAAATTTTATTTTAAAATTAAAGGAGAACTCTTCAGAATGGTAAGTTCACTGGCATAATTATATTGCTTAAAATTACTTATTTATTTTCTTTGAGATAGGATTTCTCTGTGTGACCCTGGCTGTCCTAGAACTCACTCGGTAGACCGCTGTGGTCTCAAACTCAGAGATCCACCTGCCTCTGCCTCTTGAGTGAGTGCTGGAATAAAGGTTGCACCACTATGCCTGACTGCTCCAAAATTTTTAAACTAAGTTTTGGGAAGTACCCTGCATTTGCTGGCTCTATGGCAATAAGCGCGTGAGAACCACCCTTATTTCCTTTTGTGGGTGTGTGGATGTGGAATTGCACATGTGTGTGGATGTGGAAGCCAGAGGCTCTGCCAAGTAACTTCCTCAATCGCTCTACAATGTATTTTTGGAGACAGGGCTTCACTGAACCTGAAAGTTCAGTTGATATAACGAGACCGGCCAGTGAGCTCCGAGGAGCTCCCATCTCCACCAGCACTTGTTAAAGGCAAATGTGTCGGTGCTGGAGATCTGAACTCAGGTCCTTAAACTTTCAGACAGTTTATCAACTGGTGTCTCCCAGCAGCTTCTCATGTGGAACTTAAAACACTTAATTTTGGCAAATTCGGCATGCATGTGTTTTTGTTGTCATTGTAGATTAAAGAAGAGCAGGTGCTGAGAGCTGTGAAAAGGAAGAACACCCAGGTGAGGACTCGTAGTGAGTACGGGGTAGGGCGGGAGGAAGTAAGCTGCTTTAGTTTAGAACCTGCACAGTTTGTGTAAGGCTTTGTGCTTTGGGTCAGGTTTTTGTTTGATTTTGTAATGTTAATGGGGACTAAGGAATGGGGATCTCTGTTAGCCTGCTGTCATCATTTATAAAGAGAAGGTTATTTGGGCTCAGGCACTCCCTGACTACCTGGCTCTGTCGTGAAATGAGACTGCTTTGAGGCCTGTCTTGAAATGAGACTGCTAAGCAAGCCAAACCAGAAGCAAGAGGAGGGTTTGTGGTCCCGCGCCCTCCCCTCATGCCCCAGTCTTCAAAGTTGCCCACTAAGCTGCATTCTGCCTGTTTCTCTGCTTTCAATGCCTAGGACAGTGTAAGCAGAAGTGAGACTTCTACTGTGTTAACCTAAGTAAATTATTGTATTGCTCAGATGATTTCCAACATGGAAAAGAAACGGCAGCGTTTAATTGAAGTCCAGGATGAACTGCTTCGGTAAGATAATACCCACTCCTGCTAAGACCTCACCTAAAGGGCAGTAGTAGAGCTTGTCACTTATGGGAGTGCTGTTTGCTGTGGTGACCCACGACAAGCTCCAGGTTTTCTTTGCACTTGGATGATCAGTGTCAGCAGCTTCTGATGCCCAGTGGCAGAGTGCAGAGTCTTAGCAAAGAAGAGTCAGCACGGATCAGCATGTCTGGTCTAGCATTAGGCAGCCTGTCCCGCAACGTCCGGAGAGGAGCCAAGGCGGGTGAGAGACAGAAGCAGATAGGCACACCATGAAGAGTGAGTTTGGATTTAGTTTATTCAGTAAAAGGGAAGGGGGGAGGTGAGAAGGCTTCAACCACCTCTGCCTAGGCAGAGGGGGGGAGTGGGCGGGGCTTGTCTCTTAAAGGGTCAGGACAGATCATTACGTCAGCAAACTCTTGAAATACCATGTAATTAAGTACTAGGTTTTTGAGAGACAAATTAGTTGTCTATTCCATTTTGTTTACAAATTTAGTCTATGGGAGACACTAGAAAATGTGTTCGTTGGCGCTGGCCATGCATGGGACATTGGGGAAATAGAGCAGTAATGGTGGTAACAGTTGACAGCTTCTTTTATGACAGGGGCGCTTTCCTAAAGGCTCTATTCATTTGGCCCACTCTTAGTATGACTCCATGAGATAAGTTATCATATGGCTCTATTATAAGGCTGTTTTGTTAAACAGTGGGAGGCCATTGAGATGTGTTGAGACCAGCCTCTTTAGTTCCTTCTCTAGGTGTGATTGTAGCAGGACAAACATTTTGAGAAAGCATAGTAAAGAAAGTACATGATGGTCTTAACTTTGCTATTAGACACTCAACAGGGGAGTCACTGCCTCAGCTGGTTCATCCTCAGGAAGGACAGGTAATGCAATCCTAGACCTCCAGCCACTGCGACCAGTTCAGTCTGGAGTCTGCTGAAGAAATAAATGCTGCAGTTGTCCAGTGTGAAGAGCTCTTTTTCAAGCTGAAAATTATGTTTTGTTTTGTTTTTCTGATCACAGTCCCCCTCCCTCATCTCCCAGGTCCTCCCCACTTCTCTACCCATCCAGTACCAGGCCGTCTCTCTCTCTTTAGGAAAACACACAGGCAAATAAACACAGAGAGGACAAAGAAGCACGAGAAACGTGTACAGATGCACTATTCTTACATCTGAGAAGATTCGTTTTCATATTTTTATTTGCAAGATGAAACTGGCAGCCTTCCTTCTCAGCCATAAATGACAAGTTACCCATTTTCTTCATAGGTGAAGAAACTCAGCCCTAGAGAGGCTGCTGTTTGCCCAAGGTCACACATCTTTCTAGCCAGGCCTTGTGACAGATTTTCTGCTGATTTTCTTCGGCCTTGGAAGCTTGAGGGGATTTTAATAAGGGGAACTTTTTTTTTTTTTTTTTTTTTTTTTTTTTTTGAGACAGAGTTTCTCTGTGGTTTTGGAGCCTGTCCTGGAACTAGCTCTTGTAGACCAGGCTGGCCTCGAACTCACAGAGATCCTCCTGCCTCTGCCTCCCGAGTGCTGGGATTAAAGGCGTGCACCACCACCGCCCGGCTTAAGGGGAACTTTTTGCATGGCCTCCTAGCTAGACTGTCATGCCAGCTATTCCTGCCTGTTAGCCAGATTCCCGTGGAATCCGTAGTTCCCAGACTCAATGACCTGGTGAAGTTTAGCATCTGTGAGGCTCGTTAGCCATGGCTGTCCCTGCTACCTATAGCATAGTTGAGATGAATGGGAACATAGAATATGATTATGAATTATACTCATACTCTGAGAGGTAAGCACAGGTCAGCTAGCCCAACCCTGGTTTTTCCTTCTTCTCCCAGGATGCTCATGCACTGTAGACTGCTGGACTTTATTGTATGTCATTTATGTAGGAGAAAATGTTTCTGTTATTTCTGGTTTGGGTTTCTGTTCTTTATAGTTTGGGTATTTTAATACTTTCAGTCCATGAACAATACATATATTTATATTAATTTGTTATACATAATTTCTTTTTAAGATTTAAAAAAAAATTTTTGTTGTCTAGATTAGAACCACAACTGAAACAACTACAGACAAAATATGATGACCTCAAGGAGAGAAAATCATCACTTAAGAATTCCATACATTTCTTATCTAACTTAAAACAGCTGTACGGAGACTATTCAGATGTTCAAGAGAAAGAACCAAAGGAAAAGGAGGAGGTGAGCCCCACTCAAGCTTACTGTGCGGCAGAAGCTGCTGCAGGCACTCACCTTTAGAGTGCCAGCGGCTCTGTCAGTGTAAGTCAGCGAGATCACAGTGTCACCTTAGCTACTTAGTGAAGAGAAGCATCCGTGCCACTCCTAAGTGCCCTTCAGAGAACTGTACTGGAGGGCCATGTTGTGTACTGTGCACAACTCATGGTTTCATAGCTATTTCACAGAAATGGTAGGAATGGCTTGAAACGTTGAGAAACAGTAAAGGAGTTGAGAAAATGTAGCTTTCTTTTTTTTTATTTTTTTTTTGAGAAGTTTCCATGAGGTGCTGAGAAGAAGGTATATTCTCTTCTGTTTGGATGGAATATTCTATAGATGTCTGTTAAGTCCATTTGAGTCATAACATGTTAGTTCTCTTATTTCTCTATTCATTTTTTGTCTGATTGACCTGTCCAGTGTTGAGAGGGGAATGTTGAAGTCTTGCACTATTAGTGCTTGGGGTTTAATATATGATTTAAGCTTTAGAAGTGTTTCTTTGATATATGAGAGTGCCCTTGTATTTAGGGCATAGATGTTCAGTATTGAAATTTCCTCCTGATGGATTTTTTCCTGTGACTACTAATATGAAATGACCTTCTTTGTCTCTTTTGACTGATTTTAGCTTGAAGTCTGTTTTGTTAGATATTAGGATAGCTACACCTGCTTGTTTCTTAGTCCATTTGATTGATTTTTTCCCAACCCTTTACTCTGAGACAATGTCTGTCTTTGAGGTTGAGATGCGTTTCTTGTATGCAGAAGAAAGATGGATTCTGTTTTTTTTATCCAATTTGTTAACCTGTGCCTTTTTATAGGTGAGTTGAGTCCATTTACATTAAGGGATATTAATGACTAGTGGTTGCTATCTCCTGTTAATTTAGTTTTCATTGTTGGTGATGTTAATTTGTGTACTTTTCCCTTCTTTGGGATTTGCTGCTATGAGATCATCAATTGTCTGTGTTTTTATTGGTGTAGCCATCTTCCTTGGGTTGGCGTTTTCCTTCTAGTATTTTGTATAAGGTTGGGTTTGTGGCTAGGTATTGGTGAAATCTAGATTTGTCATGGAATATCTTGTTTTGTCCTTCTATGGTGATTGACAGTTTTGCTGGGTATAGTAGTCTGGGCTGACATCTTTTTTTTTTTTTTTTCTTGTGCCTGTGAAGTAAGTTTATTAAGAAGTAAAGCATTGTATAGGCTATTTTCAGGGAGAAAATGAACACGGTCAACAGTAAGCTAATTCATACAATGTTGACAAAGAGAACACAGTATACCTCAGACACAGCTGCCTGAGGACTGATCATCACAGCCTATGTGTAAGAGCTGGATCCCCAGAAGCCAGAATCTTAACTCTCCTGATGCACTGTCCCTAGTCAGCCTTTTCACATGTCCTCCTGGACAAGAATACAGAACTAAAGTTCCCCTTGTCCTTTCTTTTTTTTTTTTTTTTTTTTTTTTAGTCTCTTAATGTCTGCATAATGCTTGACCATGACCTTCTGGCTTTCATTGTCTCCATTGAGAAGTCAGGTGTAATTCTGATAGGTCTACCTTTATATGTTACTTGGCCTTTTTCCTTTGCAGCTCTTAATATTCTTTCTTTATTCTATATGTTAGTGTTTTGATTATTATGTGGCGAGAGGACTTTTTTTGAATCCAGTCTATTTGGTGTTCTTTAAGCTTCTTGTATCTTCATAGGCATATCTTTCTTTAGGTAGGGAAAGTTTTCTTCTATGATTTTGTTAAATAAATTTTCTGTGCCTTTGAGTTGAACTTCTTTTCCTTCTCCTATACCTATTATTCTAAGATTTGGCCTTTTTATGGTGTCCCATATTTCATGGATATTTTGTGTTAAGCTTTTGTTAGATTTAATGTTTTCTTTAACTGATGAGTCTATTTCCTCTATTGTATCTTCAGCGCTTGAGATTCTCTCTTCCATTTCTTGTATTCTGCTGTTCATGATTGCATTTGTGGTTCCTGATCTTTTTCTCATGATTTCTGTTTCTATAATTCCTTCGGCTTGTGTTTTTATTGTTTCTATTTCAGTTTCCAAGTCCTGGATAGTTTCTTTTATATGTTTGATTTCTTTTTCTTGGTTTTCTTTAAGTGATTTGCTGATATCTTCCAATTTTTTGTTTGTTTTTTCCTCCATTTAAGGGAAGCTTTCTATTATTTTAATACACTTTGAAGTAGCTCCTGGGTCTTCACTATTGCTATGACACTCAATTAAGATTAATAGAAATGTTTGCTAAAAAAATTGTAAGTTTAGCCGGGCGGTGGTGGCGCACGCCTTTAATCCCAGCACTCGGGAGGCAGAGGCAGGCGGATCTCTGTGAGTTCGAGACCAGCCTGGTCTACAAGAGCTAGTTCCAGGACAGGCTCCAAAACCACAGAGAAACCCTGACTCGAAAAACCAAAAAAAAAAAAAAAAAAAAAAAATTGTAAGTTTAAATACCTAATAGAACTAGAAAAATATGATTATCCTAGTAGAATTATATATAGAATTACACCAATAGGATGGAGTATAGAACTGTGTAAGGAATTACATTAAGGATTGTGTAGAGAAAGTGATACGTAATTACACACAATGTCTCTGAGCATCTAATGATCAGGTTTGTATTTGTAACCTCTAAATTCAATTTTAAGATGTGACATTGATCTAAGTTCTCCTGAGCCGAAGATCTGTTCATATAGTAGAGTTACAAAAATATGTTTTTAAAATACACTTAAACTTTATTTTAGGGATTTGATCACTAAATTTGTGAAAGTTAATAGTAGCTTTGACCTAACCTGTACATAGTTCTTGGTTAGGCCAGGATCACTCTTTCATGTGCTAGGCAAATGCTCTCCCAGATCTACCCCAAGGCTTGAAAACCAAGCTGTGGTAACTGTGGAGCAGTCTGCTGTCACAGATGAGGCTGTGTGGGACCTTCAGTGCCTGTTGTACCCTTACTGTCAGGCACCTATCCTTCTCCTGTGACATCTGGATATGTCACACCTCTTCCTAAATGAAACCCGCAGCTGCTCCAAGTGTATTCTTCCCACTCCTTCGAGAGCGGGTGCTTGAGGCGTCTTGAGTGGAGATGACCTACGTCTGTTGAGTTGATTTCTCTAATAACATGGTAAGTGTGTGGCAGAAAACAAGTCCCATTGTTATGTCACCACTGTCTGACAGCTTTTCTGCTCAGTTTTCGTCACTGAGAAAAATACCTTGGAAACACATTTGTCAGCAAGCTGCTAAAAGTATAGTAAATTATTTAACAGGAATTTAATTTCTCTCAGATAGTTAGCAGGAAGTTTGGCTTTGTTAATTATTTCCAGGTCATGAGTTGGATTTTGAGTAGTGTTATAACTTTGTCCTTACATTTGGAATGACAACCTTTAAGGCTTAATTAATTGATCCTCTAAGTAACTTTCCTAAATGAGACCTTTGAGATTATTTTGCTGTAGACTTTAACAGGCCAGTTGTTCTCATTCCATTAGTTCTTGCAGTAAAAGGAAACTTGTAGACATTGCTGGTTCAAAATAAATAAGATCAAGTAGACCCTACATACCACTAACACACTTGCCTAGTCCAAGTTTTGAGGCATGACTTGCCATTTTCTGTCATGCAGATGCCACAGTTCTTTGAGTCAACTTGTGTTGCCTGGAGTACAGAGATCTACTCTGGCTTTGTTGGTTGGTTCTATTCAACATTATATTCTGAGGAGCTGGGATGTGCTAAAACATGGTTTCCTAATGATGCTGGTTAAGCAAGTATTGCTCTTTCATCAACAGTATGACTCATCTAGCCTTCCAGCTCTGTTGTTTAAAGCAAGAACGATTCTGGGAGCCAAGAAACACCTGAAAACCATCAACTATCAGCTGGGGAAGCTCCTTGAGCAGGAATGAGAAGACCACAAGCTGAGTCAGCCTCCTGCCGCCATCTCTCCTGAAGCTGCGCTCTTGACACTCTTCAAACTTCCATTCTGAAAATAAGTGTGGCTTACTCATCAGAATTTATTATCACTTTGTCATTCAAACTAAGTTACGCCCGTTCAACTGTAGCAGTTTCAGAAACCATGTAGTTCTGATTATTATTAATAAATTTCAGTCTTGACATGTTAGTCATCACTTGGCATAAGAGTTTTACCCTACAATAAACTTTTAATGATGTCAGTGCAAGCATGGAGTAATTTTGGTTAATTAGGGGCATCTATTGAAGCATGTCAAAGTTAATCTTCAATAAAACTGGCTCAGGTAAAAAGCAAATTATTAGAAAGCTAAGTGATAAAACGGTTGTTATAAACAGGTTTAATAATAAGTTAATGTAATTTGATTTTTTTATGCTATTGCGGATTAGATGCAGGGCCTTGCACATGCTAGGTAAGTAGTCTACTCTTGGGCTATAGCCCCAGCCCTAATTTAACATTTATGTCATCAAATCTTAGGCTTCAGGCAAACTGTAGCCTATTATGTAAATCCTGTCCATGGTTAGCTACTCTGTAATGCTTCCATAATGAGTTCGTCAGGAATATCGTCCATTGCACTCTTGTCACCAAGAAGACTCCTGTCTGCAGCATCAGCGAATTCGGCATCTTCTGTGGCTTCTAGGAAGCAGGCATCGTCTTTGTCATCCCAGTCAGCATCGGAAGACTCGCCTGGTAACAGGCTGCTGGATGATGGGATTTGAGAATTCTTGGCCAGTGAGTTGCTGAATTCATCTGCTTCATCAGAAGTGAACTCCTCCTGTATTTTGGTGGGAAAGAGAATATGTTGAGTTAAGGTATGAAGTGATAACTAGATTTTCAAAGTCAAATAGCATGCTAGGTTCCTATGTCTTCAAGAACAGTCACCATGGGGCTGGAGAGATGGCTCAGTGGTTAAGAGCACTGGCTGCTCTTCCAGAGGCCCTGAGTTCAATTCCCAGCACCCACCTGGCAGCTCACAACTGTCTATAACTCCAGTTCCAAAGGAGCTAACACCTTCACACCAATGCACATAAAATAAAGTTAAATATTTTTTTTTTTTTAAATAAAGAGCAGTCACCATGGGGAAGGGTAAGTTAGCTCAAATGAGGTTGCTTTGGTGGTGCAGTCATGCTCGAAACCCCAGGCTGAAATTACCTGTAGTTCATGGCAGATACATCTCAATATCCCCAGAAGGAGTACAGCAAAGGTAGATGTAAACCCCTAACAGGAAGATAGGCTAGCTGGAGACAAGCTGGAAAATACATTTCTTTTGTTTTTTTTTTTTTTAAAGACAGGGTTTCTTCTCTGTGTAGCCCTGGCTGTCCTGGAACTAACTTTGTAGATCAAACTGGCATCAGACTCAAAGAGCTCCACCTACTCTGCCTCTCGGGTGCCTTCAGTGTGCTACCACAGCTTGACAAAAATATATTTCGAAGTTAACAAAAATCTCTCCCTAGAATTTATGTGAAAAAGCCAGGCGTGTAATCCCAGTGCCGGATCCCACATCTTGGTGGTCACCTAGCCAAGCCTCCTGAGTGAGTAAGACACCCAAGTTTGTCCCTCTGGCCTGTATGTGTGTGTTCATGCACACACAGATGCATATATTAAAAATAGATGAGGGAGAAGTGGTGATGTTAACTGTTCACTGGAAAGACTATTTCTACACTGTTTGCAAACAATAAAAAGCGATATTCAAATAACGGTAATGGTGTATACCAAGAATACTTTCATTTGGCATTTTTGGGGTATTATTAGAAACGAAAAAATTCCACTGAAACCAGTCACCCAAATAAATCAATGGTTGGAAATTAGCTCAGGGGAGAGCACTTGCTTCCCATGGGTGAGGCCCCAGGTCTAATTCCCAGCATTGCAAAAAAATGAAAGAAACCACTAAAAAACAAATAAGAATGATACATTGCCCTTTTAAGAGATAATCTAAGATTTTTAATTCGTTCCTAGTCATTTCTAGCACTTTCAAACCTACCAGTCTGCCAGAGGCTCTGCCTATCAGTTCTTTGTCCAGCTCATGGGATTTTCACTGTAAACTTGATGCTGGGTCTGGAGATAGCTCAGTGGTTAAGAGGCTGCTCTTCCCAGGGATCCAGGTTCCGTCCCCAGCACACATGGTGGCTTACAACCATCTGTGACTAGATTTCCAGGGAACCCAATGCTTCCTTCTGCTTCCTTGGGTACCAGGCACACATGGTAAATATGTGGCATGTGGACATACATGCAATCAAAGTACCCATATGCGTAAAATAAAACTTTAGTGTTCTCATGAGAGATGTTAAATATAGGTTTCAAAGAATGCCAGTTTTCTAGAGCAAATTTAAGCACTTGTTCAGTTTGTAGCAGGTCATTTATTCTAACCAGGGCAATGCTATGGGACAATGGTCTGTACCCTGTCACTTGTCTTTTAAATAAATGCTGATTGGCCAGTAACCAGGCAGGAAGTAGAGGTGGGACAACAAGAATTATGGGAAGAGGAAAGCTTCAGTCTGCAGTCATCTGCCAGACACAGAACAAGCAAGATATGACTGCCTTGCTGAAAAAAGTACCAAGCCACATGGCTAACACAGACAAGAATAATGGGCTGATTTTAAGATGTAAGAATTAGTGAATAAGGTGCTGGAGAGATGGCTCAGTGGTTAAGAGCATTGCCTGCTCTTCCAAAGGTCCTGAGTTCAATTCCCAGCAACCACATGGTGGCTCACAACCATCTGTAATGAGGTCTGGTGCCCTCTTCTGGCCAGCAGGCATACACACAGACAGAATATTGTATACATAATAAATAAATATTTTTTTTTTAAAAAAAGAATTAGTTAATAAGAAGAGCCTGAGATACTAGGCCAATCAGTTTATAATTAATGTAGACCTCCGTGTGTTTATTTGGGACTAAGTGGCTGTGGGGCCTGATGGGACAGAAACCTCAGTCAATAGGGCAATCTGAAAGAAGGTGCTGAGTCTTTTAAGGTGAAAATAAAAATTAATTCTAAATAATACATGACCAAAAAATATTAAATAAGATGTCATAGAAAAAGAAATTCATAAGAGAAACACAAATAAAAACCTCAAAAGAGCACAACTTCATCAATAAGCCCGAATGGAAAGTTATTGGCCACTCGTCTCCAGGCTGGTGAGAAGGTGGCTATGGGCTGTGCTGGCACACTTAGCAGCAGGTGCTTTCATCAACTGTGCGACCTCAGGGTTCATGGAGCAATCTGGTGATAGCTTATAATAAAGATGTTCCTGATGCTTGAGGGAAGAGACCTACCTTCATGCCTTACAACTTGGAAACAAAGTGAGCACACACAAGTATAAACAATGGAAGATTTATGCTAAAACCTTTGAATCAGTTTGGCCAAACTAATATGAAGCTTTTTGCCTTTTTGCTTTTTTTGTTTTTTAAAGAAATGTGTATGTCTGTCACATGCATGCAGGAGCGTGTGGAGGTCAGAAGAGGGGCACTGGATCCCATGGCGTTTCAGATGGTTGTGAGTCTCCATGAGGTGCTGGGATCTGAATCCGGTTATTCTACAAGAGCAGTAGTGCTCTTGATCGTGAACCATCCAGCCTAACCCACTTTTGCTTTCTATGTATTTTCTATTTTTTAACACTAAATGTGAGTCATTTGGATTAAATGTTGGTTTGGCAAGCTAGTCATATCCAAAAGCAAAATTGTGTATTCCCTTTGACATAGTTCTAAGACAGAACCCAACCTACAAATAGTGTCAGTCAAACAGACACTAAGATGCAAACACCTTGGTTTACTGTATAAAGCAAAATGTAAGAACCTCCTTCTATGCCCAGGACTAAATTGATTATATACTTTATTTCCTAGCCGTCCCTGTTATCAGAGGCCCTAAGGTGGGAAGACGATTAGCATATTTCAAAGTGAACACAAGTGCCTCACTGTGTAAAAGCTACCTGGACAGGAAGCTGCTTATAGTTCACTCATGCTATGTACTGAAAGGCCAGGAGCTGCACTCACCTCTTTCAGAAGAAACCGCAGACTTACTTCAGTGGGTAATGGAAAACCTGAATCAGAAAGAATAATTTTAGGTGGATGTCTAATTTTCACTTTGTGGTAAATATAAAAATTAATAACTCACAGTTAGATTTGAAGTTTTGTGCTTTACATACAGGATCATGGCATTTTTGATACCAAACTTCATTTTTCAGGTCAACCAGAATCCTTTATGTATAAAGAAAAGAAAGCATTAATACCCATACTGGATAGAAGATAAAGTTCAAATATACGCCATTTGCCAGAGATGTGCCTTCAACTTAAAAGATGGAGAAAAATTAAAAAGCTAAGGGATGAAAATAAACGTGTAATCAAAAGATAACCGGTTGCTAAGAAAACATGGGGCTGAGGAGACAGATCCATGGGGAAGCGCTTATTCACAAGGCTCTGAACCTCAGAATCCACAGAACCCACACGAAAACAAATGAGGAGGCTAAGAAGCCAGCTCAGTGGGAAAAGCACTTGTTGTCTAAGGGTGAAGACATGAGTCCAAATCTCAAGAACCCACATAGAAACTGGGGGCACATCTGTAACCCCAGTGTGGAGATAGGGAACCTAGGAAGGGGAATGCAGGAAGATCCCAGGAGCTTGCCAGCCAGCCAGCCTAGCCAAAATGGTAAGCTCCAGGTTGAGGGACGTGTACTATACAGATGGACTTCTGGGCGGGGGAAAAAAGTGACAAACTTCTCTAGGAAGATCCAGAAATTTTCAAGTTATATCCACCAAAATAATATATCTTCAAGACAAGACACACAAGCCAGGTGTGGTGGTGCACACCTGTAATCCCAGCACTCTGTGAGTTCAAGACCAACCTGGTCCACAAAGCAAGTTCCAGAACAGCCAGGGCTGTTGCACAGAGAAACCCTGACTCAAAAGAACAAAACAAAACAAGAGACAGCACTGTAAGGATGACGAATCTATTCACAGAGATAAGTACAACAGACTGAGTGTGGACTGTTCAGCCACAAACAGGATGTCTATATCTCATTTCCTACCCAAGAGGGGGTGGGAACACTAAGAGCTGGGGTCAAGGAAGACTACTCAGAACGTTGTTTTCTGGACATGAAGGGC